TTCAATGTTTACATTAGTATGAGTTTCCACGGAGCACAGTGTCATAGTGCTCATTTCCCACTGTTATCATGTTTTTCAGGTCAGGACGTCGGGCCGGGAGCGTGAGATGACAGAGGCTTTAGGACTTTTATGTTTTGACTGTGTATATATTATGACGATTTACGTTTCCGCTGATGATGGTTTTGATGAACTTATGTTTTGACCGGACTTTTGGAAAAATTATGTTTTCAGTAATCGTATCATTTTATTAGAAACTTTAAATAACGGTTTTTCCAAAATAAGTCACGTTTTTAAGGTAGCACCCCGAATCAGTTTTCGCAAAGTAAAAGATTTATTTTTAAAAGACTTTGCGAAATTTTCGCACTCTGATTTTACGATAAGGCGGGGTGTTACACGGTGCATACATGTCGAGGGACTAATCCCCTTGATGTCTCCCAGACTCCACCCGATTGCCTTCTGGTTCTTTCTGAGCATAACTATCAGCTCATCCTCTTCCTCACTGTCGAGCTCAGCGAAAATGATCACCGGCTTCTGATGGGCATCATCCAAGAAAACATACTTAAGGTGCTTGGGCAGCTCCATAAGCTCGAGTGTGGTCTCAGCTCGGGTATGGCCTTCTCCTACTTCAAAAAGCTCCACTATAGGCTCCTCCTCTTCCTCAAAAACCGGCAACAAGATGTCTTCGAACTCCTGAAATACCATCTCATCCACAAAAGGGTCAGCAACATCAATAAAAGCACATTCTTCTATTAAATTGACCGAAGATGAAGACATGGCCTCTCGGACAGAAATAGACACCGATTCCCCTAAAACCGTCATATTCAGGGTCCCATTCTTCACATCGATGAGAGTATTGGTCGTAGCCATAAAAGGTCTCCCGAGAAGGATGGTGTGATCCTTCCCATTCTCGTGTACATCCCCAACGTCTAGAACGACGAAATCCAATGGAATGATAAGCTTACCCACCTTCACGAGAACATCCTCGACTATCCTCTTTGGGTACCTGATGGAACGGTCTGCTAACTGGAGGCACATGCGAGTTGGCCTCAAATACCCAAGGCCAAGCCTCTGAAAAATCGAGAAGGGCATAAGATTAATTACGGCCCCGAGGTCGAGCATCCCCGAAGCTACCTTCCCGTTCCCCAAAGCTATCTGAATAATGAAACCACCGGGATCTCGTTCCTTCTTGGGCAAGTCGTGCTGCATAGCACTTGCCGCCTCATACACGACCACCTTCTCTCCATCTTCGAACTTCTTCTTCTTGGTCACCAAGTCCTTAAAGAACTTACCATATGATGGCATATTCTTAATCACATCCAGGAGCGTCAAGTTGACATTCACTTTGGAGAGCATGCTGAAAAGATCTCGGAACTGCTTCTCTTGCTTCTCGTTCCTAAGTCGGTCCGGAAAGGGAATGCGCGGCTTGTACGGATTTGGCGACTTATGTAGCACTGGCTCGTCTGTCACCTTCTCGGACTCTACTTCTTTGATCTTCTCCGAATGAGTCTCCTGATCCTCGGGCTCGGGCATCTGCACCTTGTTGTCCACCTCCTTCCCGCTCCTGAGCACAGTGATAGCTTTAGCTTGCTCGGGCTGACTTTGCAACTTCCCCTTGTTCATCTCGGTCTCAATGGTCCCCACCCTGGCGGTCAGTTGGCCTAACTGTGTCTCTATGCGCTTGATGGAGGCATCTTGATTGACATCTCTCTGCTCACGGTTGGCCATAAGCTGAAGGATTTTTGCAACGTCGTCTTGGAGGTTCGAACTCGACCCCGCTTTCGGTCACCTCTGCTGCTGTTGTGGCTGCTGTGGCTGGTAGTTCGGCCGGGGCACAAAGTTGGGTCGAGGTTGTTGCTGCATGAAGTTCGGACGGGGTGGCTGTGTTGGAACCCACGAGAATCTCGATATGCACAAATCACAGACAAACATTCAACATA